ACTCTGTTCAAACCTATGCTCCCCACCTGCACGAGCAGAAGTGTGGTGTAAAAGAAAGAAAGAAAGAAAACAGACAACCCAAGGGAGGGATGGGAGGACGGCACGCCGCCACCACACAGGGATTTTAAGGAGAGGAGTCCCGTTCGTGCGAAGCATCGAAAAATTCTTTTTGTGCTTGCCTTCGAAGGTCGCCAATGGCAGGTGAGAGGCCTGACACCGCGATGGAGCCCGGCTCCGCCGCGCTCGAGCCGCGCGCGCCGCAAGATCGAGACGGCGCGCGACAGCCGGAGATGCAGCCGAGATGCAGCCGAGATGCAGCAGAGATGCAGCCGAGATGCAGCCGAGGTAGACGGCGGGGGCTGGACTGCCGACCCCCGCCCCAACGCTGGCCTAGCTTGAACTCAGCCGTCCCAGGGCTCACGCCGCCCTCGCCTCCCCCTCAGGCGCAAAGAGAGCGCGAGCCGCTGGCGCAGGCGCTGGCGGGCGTGCTGTCGGAGCAGCAGCTGGCGGAGAGCGAGCGCCAGATCCTCGCCGACAAGGCGGCAAAGGGCGCCGCCGCCGTCGAGTCCGCCGCCGCGTCGCTCGCGTCGCACGACGAGACGGTGGCGAGGAGCCGCGCCGAGTTCGACGGCCACGCCGCGACGAGCGCGGAGCTGCAGGCGAAGCTGGCGGCGAGCCGCCCGCGCGCAGAGGCTCTCGAGGCGGAGGCGGCGCGGCTGGGCGAGGAGCAGCGCGCCGCCGCCGCCAAGCTCGAGGAGGGCGTCGCCGCGCGCTCGGGCGGCTCGATGAACGAGCGGCTGCGCGCGCTGATGGAGGCCAAGCGGAGTGGCTCGATCCCGGGGCTGGTGGGGCGGCTCGGCTCGCTCGGCTCGATCGCGCCCGAGTACGACTGCGCCATCTCGACCGCGTGCGGGCCGCTCGACTGGATCGTCGTCCGCGACACCGCCGCCGCGCAGCAGAGCGTCGAGCTGCTGCGCGAGCGCGGGCTCGGCGTCGCGACGTTTGTCGTCCTCGACAAGCAGGTGCCGTCTCTCCCCTCCCACCGCTCCCTCCCCTCCCACCGCTCCCTCCCCTCCCCCCTCCCTCCTCTCCCCCCCCCCCCC